AAAATCCACTCACAAGCTGCTGGTTTTCTCGATCCAACGTGCTATCAATACTCATAGCTTTTGCAGCAGGTGCCACGGATCCAACGTGCTATCAATACTCACGGCTTTTGCAGCAGGTGCAACCTTTTGATAACAGTCCGTGGATCAAGGGTTACTGCAGAAGTGGCAGAAGCAAAATCGATTCTTGCACCAATGTTTCTTTGGTGCTCAGTGAAGGAAATCAGGCGTGCAACTACCGTGCAAATGGAGACCAAGGGCTCCAAGCAAGGTGGCGGTATTTGTAAAGATCAATGTTACATTTGCAAATTGAGAACAAAGCTTATCGTTTCCAAAAGGGAACCAAGCAAGGTTTCCTTGATAAAGACGAACCACCGTGCAAATGGGGAGGTGAGAAGGGAGAAAAACCTACTGAGAGAGAAAAAAAAAAATCTACCCTTTTTTTTTTTTAGAGGACCGTCAGTGCTGTTCGAATACCATATTAAGTTTTTTTTTTTAAGAGGACCGTCACCTCCTGTTTTAATACCATATTAAGTATTTTTTCAGAGGACCGTCACTGGTGCTCTGATACCATGTTAAGTTTTTCCTAGATGACTGTCACTGTGATACTATTTAAGATTAGTGAGAGCATATATGCACAAATATTAAATGGGGAGAAAAAAAGAGAGAACACAATATTTATGTGGTTAAAGCCGAAGCTTTACGTTCACGGATCCAAAGCCCCAATGGACTACATCGGATCGAGAGCCCCAACATGCTACATGTTGGGGCTACATCGGATCCAAACCCCAACATGCAACATGTTGGGGCTACATCGGATCCAAACCCTAATGGGCTGTATGTTGAGGCTACATCGGATCCAAACTCCAATGGGCTACATCTTCAATGTTACATCTTCAATGCCATAATGTTATAACTTCAATGTTGTACATCTTCAATGCCGAAGCCTTATATGTACGGATTCAAAGTCCCAACGGGCTACATCTTCACTGATTTTTTATAAATGTTTACATCAATAAGTATCTCTATATATAGCTGACGATCATACAATTATCGAAGATAAATATTAAAAATAAAAATAAATATAATATAATTCTTAAATATAAAAATAAATAATATGAAACTTTATCATCAAACTAACTTGACAATCAAATAACTTTTATTTGATCTGTTTTTATTTTCAATAGACCTCAATAACGAGCTTCATTTGAAATTCCACATATCACGATCACACATGCGGAGGGTGAGCAGAAGGTAAGTCCATCTCCCTGCTGGTCAAAGACTCAAAAGCATAAGTGGGCAGCAAGGATAATAGGTACCACAACGGGACATGTGGCAAGACTAAGGTGTAGGACCCCTTAGTCGCTGATCGACCACAAACTAAATGTATACATTGAAAAATTCTTAAACGACCATCACATCGTAGTTGACTTACCCAATGGGTAAAAGAGACTTGCAAGGGTAGAAGTATAGTGGATTAAGATTTTAAACATGGTAGCGAAACAAACTTGATTGTTTTTCACCCACTCCAGATTAGAATCGAAAAAGGGTGCATCTTGGTCCATTCCACGATACCCATGAGTCTACTTTTCTAGCCCCAGTCATTAATATCCCCAAGCTCCACCGAAACAAGTACAGGGGAATTTTGCAAAATCATCAAGGATTCTCATTTATCACTTCAAAATGTACATTTTATAGTTTTATTTCAAAATAGTATTTCAAAACATTTATTGATAAGTTCTCAAATTACCCATATTCATGATTGACACCTTATACAAAACACAACCTTTAGAAATAAATTTGTTTTGTTATAGGGACACAGATATCTTATACTGATCGATATTTCTTAAATTTAAAAAAGACTAGTGGGGCTAAAAGAAATCCATGGTGTGAAGCACGTTTTATTTGAGGATATATCGACCAGTGAACTGAGCGATATGAAGGGCATAATCTTTAAAAAAGGTTCCCATGATTTGATTTGTCTTCATCTTTCCATATAAATTAAAATATTTCTGCAAAATTACAATAAAACACAAAAAGAACTCAGAAACAAGGGAACTTTTAGCTTCTCGACTAGGGCCTCATCACTAGCATCAAATTTGAAAGAGAACCGACATCCAAAGGGGAAATATTATCACAGCAGGTGCCCACATTCTATTTGGTACTTGGTTATTAGTCCAAACTGGAAGTCGTGTTGTATTCCTCAAGCCTTTTATCACCAAAAAGCCAAATAAGTCGAAGTTTTACCAAATAAATAATCACGTTTCACTTTCGCCCATCTTTTCCGAGATTTAACTATTGTTTTATATTCAGCATTTTATGTAATACTATATTAGGGACCATCTTAACCACCCTAATTTCATTGTCCAAAAAATATTCTACTTCTTTTGGAGTATACTATCTATTTACTTCCTCGGGTAAAACCCCACCTATAGTTAGTTTAAGGATCCCAAATTTTTGGGATATAACCTCTTTAACACGTATATTAACCTCAATAAATAAAAAAGAATTCCTAACTACACCCTTTAAGTACTTGAAAAAAATAATGTTTCAAGATTGAATAGAATCTGTCTTGTTATTATAGGGTGAAATCTAAGTCTTAAAAAACTCAAAATTCCTTCTTCTTTTTTATGATAATAATCATGATTCCAGTATTCGAAAAATCGAACTGGAACGGTTAACCAGACATGGGCCCGAAAGCGGTTTAACCGGCCTAACCGCTAAACCGACCGATTTGACCACTCTAACGGGACAAGTCCTAGGTGGTAAAAAAGTGTTAAAAAAATAAAAAAAAATACAAAAACAAAATCTCTTAATGTATGAAAAACAAATAAAGAATGATTAAAACAAAACACATTTAAATGAAGTTGAACATTAATTTGAAAAATAGATTTTAACGAATTGATTTGTGCCTAGGAGTATTTTTAAAATTTTCTAAAAACAATGGAAAAATATAAAATGAAATAATAATGACCAAAACATTTTTTAATCTTTACTAGAGTGTAAAAAATATTAAAAAAATATTAAAAATACATTACAAATCAAATTCTTTATTTTTTAGAAATTTATATATTTTTTAATTTTCTTTTTAAATACTGGTTGATCATCAAAACCGCCCAAAATTGAAACCCGCCAATAACCGGTTCCGATATAACCAGGTGGTTAGTTGTTCGATCGGCTGGTTTTGTGAACACTAAGTGATTCTAAGGTGGTTATCAAAATTGCACATTAAAAACAATACTCCCAAGTAGATCATTTGATTGAGGGAGTAGAAGTAAACTATTCTACCGAGGGAGCATAGTATACATCCTCATTTAATTGTTACTCAATTATGGACCGCTCTATACAATACTTACACCACCACGTTGTCCTCAACGGTACTCAAAATCCATAAAATTCCAAGGTGTGACCTCTGAAACTCATTCTTATGCGAGCTTTCTCCTTCTTGTTTTTTAAAATGATGAATTAAAACCATGGGCTTAGGGTGTAAAGAAGAGCCTCAACTACGCCCAAGGTGAACCGCTACAGTGGAAAAAGAGCTTCAAATAAAATGGATTTCTAACATATATTATAATTAGGTTTCATTAGACTACATCATTTGGTGGTGTAGATTTTTAAAGTGCTTAACATATTTTTGCATTAAAATAACTTTGAAATGTAATACAAA